GGATAGGTGTGATAGTGACTATAGATAGATTGTGACTATATAGGATAGATTTTAATAATAAAGTGTTTTGAACATTCAACTGGTGTGACTATATAGTAGAATGTGACTATAACGGAAGTGACTATAGAGGGAGTTGACTGTATTATCACATATCACATGATCAAATGTACATTACATCATGGTTGATGAATTTAAATAGAAAATCACGCACCCTTTTATTTTGCTAAATTTAACAATTATCAGAGATTATCTTTTCCTTTTTAATGACAATGATACAAAATATCGTTTTTTCTTTATTTTTTTTTTCTTTGTTCTCTTTTACACGTTATAATGACACAAACAAGGACGGCTATAAGTGACGAAATAAAATATGAAATATATAATTATCAAATTAAAAACCCAAATATATCCCATGAAAATATTGCAATATATTTTAACCGACTTCATAATATAAATATTAAAAGACCAACAATATCTAAGATTTTAAAGGATAGAGAGCGATGGCTTTCTATAACAAATAATACTTCTTCAACTTATAGGCATCGTGAAGTAAAGTATCCTTCACTTGAACAAGCACTTTCTATTTGGGTAAAACAAGCATTATCAAAAAATATGATTTTATCAGATAATATTTTACGAGAAAAAGCTAAAGAATTTGCACAGGATTTAAATATAGCAGAGAATGCTATTGGATTTTCAAATGGTTGGTTAGGTGGATTTAAATCGCGAAATAATTTAAGCAAGCAATGAATACATGGAGAATCCAATAGTGAGCCTTTATCTACATTACCAGAATTGCGGGCTGAATTACAAGAATTAATTTCTAAATATGATCCAAATGATGTGTTTAATTTTGATGAAACGGGACTTTTTTATCGCATGACACCTAATCAAACACTTGCATCCGGACCTGTTTCTGGAACAAAGAAAGTAAGATCTTCTTATATTTGTATTAAAATTTATTTATTATTAAATTATATTCAATATGTTTTATTACTATAATACGATAAAACTAGGATTACGGTACTTTTAGGGTGTAACTCAAATGGAACTGAAAAGATCAAACCACTTGTGATTGGAAATGCGCAAAAACCTCATTGTCTTCATAGAATCAATATAAGTAATTTACCAGTTTCTTATTATTGGAACAAAAAAGCATGGATGACATAAGATATTTTTCGCCATTGGATTAAAATTCTTGACAATAAATTTCGGGTCCAAAAGTGGCAAGTTTTAATATTATTAAACAATGCATCATCACATTTAGAGCCTAAGAAAAAAGAAGCAAATAATAATGAAGTAAATAATTTACTATTTATTTTGTATATATTTCCATCTATAATTATAATTAATTTTAAAATTAAACTTTAGCTTTACAATTCCGATGAAACTTCAGCTGCAGAATCGTCACATGCAGCTAAAAATAAAAAAGGAAAAAAACGGGCAGTATCTAAATCAAAAAAATCTCGTCAACTATTTGATGATTTATCTCAACCATTAGAACTTACAAATATTACTATTAAATATCTTCCGCCTAACACCACTTCTCATTTGCAAC